ACGATGGTTCGGTAAATAATATCTAACGCGATACGACTCGTGGAATATCGTGCCACCCAATCAATCAGTTAGTGCTGTTTGGGGGGAGTGACGATAAAGCTTTTTTTTAGTTCATTTTTTACACAAACTGCAACAATTTTTTTTTATATTCGCGAAAGGATATTTTGCAAAAATTACTTTCAAAAAAAATTCTATTCTTTTAATATTAGTTTCTTATAGTATTAGTTTTTTATAGTAAAATTGACTAAAAGTATACAATTGTTCGGAAATACCATTGGTGAAACTAGCATTGTTCAGAAATACCATACATTGAAAAGTACCATCGGTCAGAATAACCATTAATCATTTCTATCGGCTAAAAAGTAAATTAGAAAATACTTTCGGTCAGAACTATCAATAATAAAGATAATTTCTATCGGTCAGAAATATCAAAGTGACAAAAAACTATTAATAGTCGAAAATACAGTGAATTACCACAAATACAGAACTACCATTGGTTAAAATTACCATTAGGCTGAATTACTATTAGTCAGAACTACCATTGGTCAGAACTACTATTAGACAGAACTACCATTGGGCAGAATTACGATTAGTCTTAACTACCATTGAACAGAACTACTATTAGACAGAACTACCATTGGTCAAAAATACTATTAGTCCTAACTACTATTGGTCTAAACTACTATTAGTCCCAACTACTATTGGTCAAAACTACTATTAGTCAGAACTACTATTAGTCCAAACCATCATTAGGCAAAAATACTATTAGTCAGAACTACCATTGGTCGAAACTACTATTGGTAAAAAGTACTACTAGTCCTAACTACTATTGGACAAAACTACTATTAGTCCTAACAACTATTGGTCAAAACTACTATTAGTCAGAACTACTATTAGTCCAAACTACTATTAGTCAGAACAAATTATTAGTCCAAACCATCATTAGGCAAAATTACTATTCGTCAGAACTACCATTGGTCGAAACTACTATTGGTAAAAAGTACTATTAGTCAGAACTACCATTGGTCAAAAATACTATTAGTCCTAACTACTATTGATCAAAATTACTATTAGTCAGAACTACTATTAGTCCAAACTACTATTAGTCAGAACTACTATTAGTCCAAACCATCATTAGGCAAAATTACTATTCGTCAGAACTACCATTGGTCGAAACTACTATTGGTAAAAAGTACTGTTAGTCAGAACTACCATTGGTCAAAAATACTATTAGTCCTAACTACTATTGATCAAAACTATTATTAGTCAGAACTACTATTAGTCCAAACTATCATTAGGCAGAATTACTATTAGTCAGAATTACCATTGGTCGAAACTACTATTGGTAAAAAGTACTATTAGTCAGAACTAATATTAGTCAGAACTAATATTAGTCAGAACTACCATTGGTCAAAACTACTATTAGTTCTTACTACCATTGGACAGAACTAGAACTGTTATTTATCCTTTTATTTAAAAAGTTGAAATCATTATTCTTTATTTAAATAAATTCTTATCTATTCGTTTTTAGAAATTAAATAATTTGATCATGAATATAATTTTTACAAAACCATTTACAGGTTTTTTTATAACCAATAATTCGAGAATATAAATATATTTGAATTTAATAAAAAAAATAGATTATAAATAGACATGGTTGATTGCAAAAAAAAAAATGAAATTACTGTTTCATATATTGTACACAGTATCTATCAAATATTTTACAGATAATTGCAACTTTTATCTATAGATTGTATTGAAATCGAGGGCGGGGGGGATTATATAGAAAACATAATAATATAAGTTCAGAGAATATCGCCAGACCCCCTCGCCAATAAAATTTATATATATATATATATATACATATATTGGTTGACCACAAAAAATCAATTTTATCTTTTGCCAAACTGCACTATTGCAGTTTGGCTTTTTGATGATTTCAGCCGTCGGTCAAGGTGGAAAATAGTCTTCGTGGTTTTACGAATAGCAACTTTTAATTGCCAGTGAACTGTTTGAAAAAAAAGAAACAAAATTCCAGTCAACAAAAATAACAATTAATTAAAAAGAAAAAGAAAACTTTTCTATTTTTGTCATATAGAAATTGAAAATTTTTCTTTTCTCTTTATTGTAAATTTACAAATACTCGAAAATGTCAATAAAATTAGATAAAATATGTTTTTTAATCAATCTTTCTCTTTTTTAAATAAAAAATAAATTATTTTAAAATTGTTTATAGTTTTTAGTAAAAAAAAAAATTTTTAATTTTAATTTTTTTGGCATACCTTATTAAAATTCTTCATGTCAAATTGTATAATAAGTGAATCATCGAAATAGTTTTAGGTACCCGGTAACTTTTATAATTTTCAAGCTGACTTGCAGAGTGCAGTTCGCGTGACAGGAAGGTAATGTACACCCTGAGAATTACCCTTAATGTAATGGATCAGAGTCCGGACTGTTATCATCCCCCTTCTACCCCTCATTGAGGAAAGAAACCAAAGGGAAATGGCACTTAGGTGTAATTCGAAGTTAAATGACTTATTATTTAGTCTTTATTCACATTTACAAACTATATTATTAAATTTTCTTTTTACTCAAAATTTATTAATTTTTAAAAATTTATAATTCAAATTCATTTAGTGTCAAGAAAAATATTTTAAAAATTATTAATTAATTTTATTATTCCTATTACTTATTGTAAATTTTTGAAAATTTAATTAAAATTTAAATTATAATAGAAATATTAAAAAATAAAAAAAAAATCAACACTGTCTTTCATTGTAGAATATAAGCTTTGTTACAAGCGAAAAAGAGAATTGTCTCATAAAATAAAGGAATTGCAATAAAGTCGTAATTTAAACAAAGCTATATTTATTTAAACTTTACGTATTTCGTTTTCTATGTGGATTATTAAAATTTACTTGCAAAAGCAATTAATTTTCATGATAAAAGGTAAAAATAAATAAATAAATATCAGAAATATAAATATATCTAATTGGCTAATAAAAATTATAAAAATATATTTAATAGAAAAATGATTTTTTTTATTTTGTCTTTTTTCTGGCTTAAATGTGTAATCAGCTTAAAGTATTTAGAGGTTCCGGGAAAGAGAGAGAGAGAGAGAGAGAGAGAGAGAGAGAGAGAGAGGAGGGTGGTTCTTTTGCCACAGTATAAATAAAAAGAATCGAGAAACTCTCTGTACAAAACACAGGGAAAAACGGTTTGAGGAAAATTGGAAAAAGTCAGCGAACCGCGGAATAGCCACTCACCTTTAGTTTTCAACACAATTTAAATTTTTTATTACTATTTTCATTTATCGACTTTCTTCACACTACTTTTTTCTATTTCAAACTTGTTAATTGAAATCCTGTTAAGTGTTTTAAATCCATATATTTATTTTTGCTATTTCAATTAGATATAGTCGGAAAAATTAGAAATTAAAAAATAAATTTTAAAAATAAAATAAAAAGATAATTATTAAAAAGAGGATTGGTGAAAAAAGTCATTGAATGAAAATACCATAGGTAGAAAATCGTAATTGTTTAATAATTACGATTAAGGTCGAAAATATCATAAAATAAAAATACCATTGGTCTGAAGTAATAAAAAACTACCAATAGTCAAAAATGCTTTAAGTCAAAATTGACACTGTTTAAAAATATACAATAAATTAAAAAATACTATTGGTCGAAATCACCATGGTTTATTATAATTGGTCGAAAATACCATAAAATAAAAATACCTTTGGTCAGAAATACCAAAAAAACTACCATTAGTCGAAAATTTCACTACTCAAATCTGTCACTGGTTAAACCTACAATGAATTAAAAATACTATTGGTCGAAATCACCATGGATTATTATAAGGTAGTTTAATAACTACCATTAAGGTCGAAAATACCATTGGTCTGAACTGTCAAAAAACTACCAATGGTCGAAAATACCATTACTGAAAGCTGCTGCACTAATTAAATCTACAATGAATTAAAATAATATTGGTCGAAAATACCATTGACTTGAAATACCATAAATTAAAAATACCATTTTTGGTCGAAACTACCATTAGTTAAAAATATCATATTACCATTGATCAGAAATACTATAAATTAAAAAAATACCATTTCTCGAAACTATCATTATCCAAAATACCAATAGTTGAAAATACCATTGATTAAAACTACCATTATTCGGAAATAAAATTGGTTAGAAAAAATCCTGTCAAAAAAAAAATGATTGAAAATAAAAATGGTAATAAAAATTATTACCATTATATTATAAAAATTGTTTTTCTCAATTTGTCGAAATGATAATTTCTCGACACTTGTGCGCCAGTGAAAAATGTAATTTTTTTTCAAAAAAAAAAAAAAAAAATGTGGAAATTTATTTAGCTGCAAAAAAATAAGGGAAGCAGAGGTTTATAAATGTGTGTGTGTGTGTGTGTATTCTAATCGATGCGTCATCGCATGCAAACTTGGTTGTTTTATCGTTGTCACGCACATAATTAATTTAATTTAGTTTAATACGCCGCCTAGCGCGAAGCAACGCGATTGCCATGTCGATTGTTTGCACGGAAACGGGAGCGCCATTAGTCTACGTCATGATTTTATGACCTGCCAAATTTAAACGTCACAATTCATCGAATTTCGAATCCAAAGCTTTGCCCTGTTAATTAAAATATATTATGCAGTTCGCCGCATTTGTAGCGGAATTGCATTTCATTTTGAAATAAAAGCAAAATCCGACGCGCAGCATTGAATTTAATGCACTCACCATTGAATTTCATTACTTTATACATAAAAAAAAAAATTTCTTTTTTCTCAATAATTAGTTTCATTGAATACATTTTAGTGAGGAAATTTCGAATTGTAAAATTTATTCACTTGTTTAAAATTCAAATTTTTCTTTTTATCAATTTTTTTTTTTTTTTTTTGCTATTAATAAAAAATAATTTCTGGCGAAATATAAAAGAATAATTAGAATAGAAATAGATTTTGAAAAACTCACCTGAACACGAACTTCTGGTAAATTGACTTTCATTGCCAATTCTTCTCTTGAATAAACGTCAGGATAATGAGATTTTTCAAAAGCTCTTTCAAGTTCATGTAATTGATAAGTGGTGAATGTTGTCCTATTTCGTCGATGCTTCTTTTTTGGATTATTTTCATTCATATCCTCCAATGAACCGGGTAGCAATTCCTCATCACTTCCACCACCCGTTGAATTACAACTACTGTTTTCACCTGTAATTATAATTAATCATAAATTAATTCATTTTATATCATAATTAATACATCTGTTTTTTTTCTAATTCAATATAATAAACAGAAGGAAAAAAAAATCTCAACAAAATTAAGAGCCTGTCTAAGGTAACATTTACTACCATGGTAACGGTTGCTATGGAAATAGTTGCTATGGAAACGGTTAATACGGTACCAGTTTCTATAGCACTAGTTTCTATGGTTCCGGTTATTATGGTACCGGTTAAGTTACTATGGTACCAATTACTATAGTACCAGTTAAGTTGGTACTGGTTACTATGGTACTGGTTACTATGGTACTGGTTACTGTGGTACTGGTTACTATTGTACTGGTTATTATGGTACTGATTACTATGGTACCAGTAATTATGGTACCAGTTACTATGGTACTAGTTACTATGGTACCGGTTACTATGGTACCGGTTACTATGGAAATGGTTGCAATGGTAACGGTAGCTATGGTACCGGTTACTATAGTACCGGTTACTATGGTACTGGTTACTATGGTACCAATTAGTATAGTACCAGTTACGTTGGTGCCATTTAGTTACTGTGGTACCGGTTACTATGGTACCAGTTACTATGGTACCAGTTAGTATGGTACTAGTTACTATGGTACCGGTTACTATGGTACCGGTTACTATGGAAATGGTTGCAATGGTAACGGTAGCTATGGTACCAGTTACTATGGTACCGGTTACTATGGTACCGGTTACTATGGTACTGGTTACTATGGTACCAATTAGTATAGTACCAGTTACGTTGGTGCCATTTAGTTACTGTGATACCGGTTACTATGGTACCAGTTACTATGGTACCAGTTACTATGGTACTAGTTACTATGGTACCGGTTACTATGGTACCGGTTACTATGGAAATGGTTGCAATGGTAACGGTAGCTATGGTACCAGTTACTATGGTACCGGTTACTATGGTACTGGTTACTATGGTACCAATTAGTATAGTACCAGTTACGTTGGTGCCATTTAGTTACTATGGTACCGGTTACTATGGAAACGGTTGCTATGGTACCGGTTACTATGGAAACGGTTGCTATGGAAACCATTACAGTGGCAACCATACGAGTGCATGACGACGGACGGATGGACGGACACCAAAACGAAACCCTAAAAATGTTAAATAAATTTTGGCGGATATTAATTAATAATTTAGTAAAAAAGGGAAATTATTTTTTAATTGGAAATTGTAAAGCGCAGGTCTACTTCCGTTTTATTAGGATGGATATTGTTCTCTATAATAGAAAGGGGGCGTTACTCACAGAGAAGGATAAAGGTCGTGGGGGTCGTTTATTGATTGTTGTTGATAATTAACCAGTACAGACGCGTCAATCACTGAGCCAAGGCGAAGTTATTAGGCTGTTGGTTAGCCTAGGAAGAGCAAGCTTCCTATATATATGCCTTGGCTATGGTTCGCCATTGAGCTACCCGATTACCTCCCACAATTCGATCTAATGCAATGCGCTGCGATGCGAGAAGCTTAATTATACTGTTAATGAGAGCTTCAATATAACCTAAACGAGGATGCCTCACGGCACTATAGCGGAAACTGCTCTTTTATAATTCTATATTATAATAACAATAATAATAATAAGAATAGGGACAAAGGGTTGAAATTTTCAAGCACAAAACAACATCTCACTTTTGCATGCAAATAATTAAGTTCTCCTTGACAAAATTATACAAAAACAAATATTCCTTTATAACAAGGACGAATTGAAATAATAATAATTATTAATTAAACACAAAATTAATGCTTTTAATATAAATAATTTTCGTGAGCTTTTATGATACTATTTTTGAAAATAATATTTTTTTTAGATATTATTTTCTTCAAAAATAGTATTATTTTTTCAGATATAATTTTTTTTTTAATAAAAAAAATTATTTAATAAAAAATATATTTCTAACCTTTTAATATTGTAATTCATCATATATTTTGGACTGCCAGGAAACACACGAGCGATTAAAAAAAAAAAAAACTCAAAACACTCCCCGAAAACGCACACGGAAAATTAAGAAAAAAGAAAAGAATTAGAAAAAAAAACAAAGCAAACGCGATTTTAAGAATTTCGAACACTCCCGAAATAAGTAAAATAATTTACTAAAATGGCAAATAAAAACAAAAAATTAACACTCGCGTAATTGAAATAAAAGACACGATAATGAAAATTTTTTAATACACTGAAAATTAAATTAATTAGAAAATTTTTATAGGCAACTTAAGCACGTTTGAACAGGTCAATTTCTAAATTGCAACTGCGATTAAATTATTTTTGGGATTCTTATACGACTTCTTGGAATTTATATTCTTTGTTTATAATTTAAAGTAAACATACACAGGTATGCAAATATAATTTCAAAAACCTATTTGGCCCTTGAGCCAAATAAATTTTTGGTTGATTCAATTAAAATTTTGTATAGCAATACATTTATTTGGTTGATTTAACCAAAAATTTGGTTAAATAAATTTATTTCGTTAATTCAACCAAAAGTTTAGTTAATTTAAAGAAAATTTTATTTGAATAAAACAAATTTTTTTTCAAATAATCAGAAAAATTGTGTAAATCAAAAAACAAAAAAAAATCGTATATGATTCAGAGAAAACTTTTCTCTTTGTTTAATTATTGTTTTATTTATGAAAAATAAAATTTTAATTTGAAGTTATGTGAATGGATTGATTATGAGAACAGTTTGATTTGATAAGAGTGTTATGCAATTGAGGGTGAATGTAAGTGAAAATTGGTGGTTCGTTGATGGGATGGAGTGGGGGGTTATATATGGTCTGACGGATTATCTATTTCGATAATTACCAAATCACGACCCATCAGAACCGAATGACACGAGTAGGCTCGAGACAATATATATATATATATATATATATATATACAATATAAAGGCAAAGAGGACACACATTGGGGTTGTTGGTCGCGTATACAGTTTCCCCTTGTTTTCGAGAATTTAATCACGATGGTTACTCTATCCAACCGAAACCAATTAATGCGTAGACGTGTGCAGGTGGTAGCTTTATAATATACATGTATAAAAGCGACTAATACTTTTTTACTTTTTCACTCCTTTTTTTTTAAAAAAAAAAAAGTCTCGAGGGACAATTTTTTAAACATTAGATAAAAATTTTATGTTTTTTTTTTCATTTTCTTTTTTGCATACACAAAGAAATCTTTTATTTGAGATAAATAAAATTTTGTTTGCCTCAAGTAACAATATTTTTGTATCAAATAAATATTTATTTCTAACAAATAAAATTTATTTGCCTCAATTAACAATATTTTGTATAGTAAATAAATATTTATTTGCCTCAAATGACAATATTTTGTATCAAATAAATATTTATTTGATACCAAAAAAAAAAAAAAAAAAAAAATGTTTACTGGAAACAAATAAAATTTGACTCAAAAAAATTTATTTGGTTCAAGAAAATATTTATTTGATATAATTAGTCAATCGATTATTTAAAATCAAATAAATTTTTTTCACTGTGTTAAATATTTATCGAAAAAAGTGAAGGAGAAATAATAAATACAAATTGAAAAAATAAAATCACGCAACGTAAATTTTCAAGTGCAAACCTCATAAAGTGAATTGGACGTCGTTACTTGCAGTGCGTTTTTATTATGCATTTCTTTTTTCACAAATTGTTGAAATATACATATGTGTCTACATAGAAAGAGAGGTAAAAAAAATGGAAGGTGGGAGGGTTATATGGGGCTCTTTTAAAGAAACTAAAACGATTGTATCAGTATCGCCTCAATTATAAAAGGGGTCTTGTATGTGTGTTAGTCAGTTCTAGCTACTTAAAAGATTGACACGTAAAGATAGCATAATGGACAGACAGTCAAAAAAAAAAAAAGAAAAAAAAAGAAAAGGAAAAAAAAAGGAGCCGCACTATGACTCCCTAATGGGCCAACATTGTGTGATTACTGATAAATTTCTAAACGTTGCCCAGTCACTCTTTTATTTTCCAAACGCCGACATATATATATATTATTGTATATAATCGTGTTAAAATTCGTCTAAATGTCCGGAATTTTACTCGTGTTTTTTTTTTCAGGAAAATATAAAACTTTTGTTTCAAGGGTGAATAATTTATCGTGATTGAATGGTGGGTTTTATATTCCGATTACGAATTCCCATATCGTTATGTTTTTTTTTATTTTTCTAATTGTGTCTAATTCCTATAGTTTTTTTTAATTCTTAATTTCTAATTCGTAGTTTCGAATTTTCATCTTTTAGCTCCTAATTTTTTTAACGATCTTAACGTTTTTCATTTTTCTAATTTTATCTAATTCCTACTTTTTTCTAATTCTAATTCCTAATTTCTAATTCAGTTTCCAATTGTCATCTTTTACGTCCTATTTTTTAACAATCCTTACATTTTTCTAATTTTATCTAATTCCTCTTAAAATCTAAATATATTTTTTTTTCCTACAAAAGTAGAAAATGAAAAAGAAAAAAAAATTTAATCTCTCCATCAAAGTATAATTTAATTATAAATATTATAAATCAACTAAACTCGCATGAAAACATTTTAATTATTCATTATTTTTATCAGATTAAAAACAAAAAATGGTTAAATGTTGAATTTCAATCTATAAAGATTAAGGTCTAGAAATTTTGATTTCCGTTCCAAATAAAAACCAGTTTTTATTACAAAAAAAAGAGTGAGAGAGAGAGGAACGTTTATAGATAAAAATTATGCTATTTTTTCGTGTTTTTTTTTTTAGTCGTGTGATTATTAGGAATATAAATTAGTATATTTTAATCTCTTGTCTCTTTGACGAATAATCAAGTAATTCAAAGCTCTCGACAATCTAAATATATTAAGATTAAAACGATGATTAATTTAGATTGAATTTGATGGCTAATTTGTATTTAATTAATTGATTTGTATAAATATAGAAAAAAAAATGATGGAAATTCAAATTTCGACGAATTAAGATATTT